GGAAGAGGGTTGCTATCTTCTGGGAGGTTACTTCTGATTGCCAATAGGCAAACTGTAATGATTGTGCCACCCACTACTTTCCTGCCATTTTCAACACTCTTTGGTGGGGTGGGGGGGGAGGAAATTTCTCCCCACTCACACCCAACTGGCGATTTTAGTGTCTGCCCAACTTTTTTCATGGAGTGAGCTCAGAACTGGGTGGGCTGTAGGCGGGCTGGCCATGTAACCTATGTTGTATACGAGCCCAGTGAAAACAGTTGGCAAGGGGCATATAATACCCAGCTGATTGTTTGTAGAAGCCTCAAGGCATTTTTGACTGTGCAATTTGATAGCTCAGCTCAAAAGATGCTCTGAGGTATTTCAGAAATGGCTAGACCCTCTTAAACTGAACTTATTGCTGTAAAACCTCATTTCAGTTGGAAAAATGATTATCTTTCCCTGAGCATAGTTCTTCTGAATGGTCTCAAGTGTCGCTTAGGTATGTTTGGCTTTATGCTTTTGCTCAACAGCACTTGAGACAAATGTGGCCTTTCTTTGGATTCAGAGGAAATTAAACACTGATGGGGCCCATACTCAAGGCAAGCCTCATTGTATTTTTAAACAGATTTTTTTAACTCCACGTTGTTCCTTTTGCAGTGGTGTTAAAAGGTAGAGCTCTGAATTGAACTTTGCCCTTGATGTTACAGTATGTGATGGTAATTATTCTCTTGAGCTACAGATTAGAGAAGCATGAGACAAATCCGAAGTTCGAGAGCTTCCTGCACAGGGGGTTCTTCCTGATCCCAACCATCAATTCAAACTCTTCAATATTAGTATGATCTAGATTCCATACCCACTCGTCTTCAAATCAAGAATCCTATAAATTGACATGACTCTGCCTTTCCTCCCAGCAAACCATGGTTACGAAAAGAGTCAGCCACTGATAGTGGCAGAGTTGCAGGCTTGGAGTTCATTCCCTGTCCACCCATTGCAACAAACAATGGTCAGAAAGAAAATAGGGTGTTTGATAGGGCCTGGGAGCTGATCTCAGCCATGACCCCAACTGTTTGTCTTGGGACTCCACTCAAAGCCTGGCACTTCTTTAAAGGCAACACAATGTGGAACTGAAGGAACAGGTCAGACAGCATCGGTGGAGTAGGAAAGTCAACGTTTCCTTTTGTACTCCTCTGATGCTGCCTGACCTGCTGTATTTCTCCAGCTCCACACTGCATTGTCTTTGACTCTAGCATCTGCAGTTCTTGCTATCTCCACTTCTTTAAAGGTTCAGGCTAGTGTGGGGTAGAAAGAAGATTCGCGAATGACATGTAAGCTCTGATGGCTAGAGGGCAAATGGCACGTTGTACCTATATAGGCACATCGACAGTCACTCTGTCTGAGATGGGAGTTGCTGATTCGAAATGGAGAGTGCAAGCAGTGAGGTCTTAACAAGGAAGTACCTCTGAAAGCAAGGATCGATATTTAAAAATGCAATAGCTGTTTGGTTATGATTGTTGAGGGGCCAGTGGTGACGTTAGTGGAGGCATGGGTTTGAAGCGTAGCATCCCCTCCCTCACCTCGGCCTGCCATAGATTTCTCACCATCCTTGTGCCAGCATTGCCAACTGGCTAGCAGCAGCCTAATGATTTTGTAAGTATTTGTTTCACAATAGAGGAGTGAAAACACCACTTCTAGGTCTCCAAACAGCATTTACAACTTTAGATTTTAATCTTAAATAAAATAGTTTGAAGTTATGTAAGACAGGTGTATTTATTAATAGTTCATGTGAATTTAAAAGTGTATTTCAAAGATATATGTTTAATAATGACCTGCGAAGGAGTGACCTATTTTCTTTCGCGTTGACATTTAAATAAACAACTACAATTGGTTTAGCTTCACTCATTTGTACAGGTTACTGTAGGAGATGAAAGAAATCACCTAAACTTATCTACTGAAATAAACAGATGAAATGAGATGAAGGAAGTTACTGCCCTCATGAAAGTAGGTGCAGAAAAATGCTTAAACCCAGATTTTCTGATGATCATTCAGTTTTTATTCCAGCATAAATGGGAGGTGTGCAGGTGGGGTCTTGCTGAATCTCCATTGTAGCAATTCCTTGAAAGTCTGCTTGGAAGATTGGAGATTCCACTGGAGGAAATTTCTGAAATTATCCATTTAAATCGGCAAATTTCGAGGGTTAAATACTTACTGAGGAAAAGTTAGGCCATTGAATACATAGTCTAACTCCTGAACCCATACTCCCTCGCAATAGCCCAACTACATCTCCCCCAGAGCACTTAAACCCACCAGACCCTGATGGAAACATCTCTGGGTCCTGACATCCCACACAGCTCTGGAATCACTGTCTTCTGCTTTGAACCTGACAACACCTCTTTTCCCTCACTATTGACCCACTCCCCTCTTCTACTCTGAACCTGATACCTCCCTTCTCTCACTCTGGCCCCACTTTCTTTGCTCAGGACCTGGCACCACCTTCCTGTCCACTGCCATCAGACCTGACCCACCATTTATCCCCTGGGACCCAAAACCCCTTAGCCACCTGGGACCTAACCCTTTTTCACTTGCTCTGGATGAAGATCCATCTCCCCCTACTGTGGAACTGCTCTCCAATTCTTCCTTTCCCAACCCAACTTCCCTTATCCCACTCTGGACCTGCTCCTTTCTCCTTTGCTGCTTGAAACTAGCCAAGAATCTCAACATATCCAGAACAAAACAGCTTACATGATTAGTAGTCCATCCATTATCTTCAGCATTCTGCTCTTCCATTGCGACTATACTGTGGTACAGAACCTTCCAGTTTTCTGGTGTATTACGACAACTTGCCAAGTCTTCCAACAGCACCCCTCAACCCCATGACCTCTCGCCATCTAGAATGGAGGTGAACAAATGTTTTGTCCAGATGGCCACATTTGGGTCTTGAAAATGTATGGAACAAATGACCATAAATGCCCAAGAAACAAATCTTGATAATGACTATTTATTTTGGCATAACTATCACAATAAATGTTTTATTTATCTAACTTGGCAATGCATTTTATGGATCAATTGTATCATTTCATACCCTCCCGGATATTGTGAACATTGCAATTGGTCATACTGTTTCCAATAACAGCAGAGTTTGGTGGCACTTATTTTCTCACTAGACCCCTGTGCCTGATCTCAGTCCAAAATGGTCTATTTTTATTTCTAATGCCCACAGATTGCATGCTGTTTTACCATGATCTGCAATACATAGTTGCAAGGACTATCTAGGGTAAAATGTAAAGAAAAGAGGAAGGAAAATGTGGAGAGATCAAAAGGAAATCATCACATCTTTTCGCGAATACAATGATTAGTATCCTGTCTCTGTTTTTCTTTCCTGGAGGTGAAATTTGGTCACATCACTGAATGCTTTAAAAGAGGTGCCAATAAGTGCATCCATAAATCTATCCCACAATTGTTAGGGAGCGGCATCCTAAATTTAAAATTTTTCAAAGCACAAAACCCAAACCTAAAAGTGCACAGTCTTCACTTTCAGTAGTATTCACGTTTGTCTCTTCTAAGGATCTAACCATTAGCTGCGACTCTGGCAGGAACAGAAGGTTTCTTTTCAACTCTAATTTTCAGAAGTGCTTCAATAAACTAATCATTGAGATTACCTGAAAACTTTTAAACTGAGATTGCTTGAGGAGACCTTTAGCTATACGTACCATGAAACTTGATGCAAATAACAGGAGTTATGTTTTGTTCAGTCAATCTTCTTCACCAGTACAAATGTCAGTTGTGCTTTTGTTGAGTCTACAAATCTGCCATCTTCTGGTTTGTTTGCTAAGTACCTTAAATCTCAGCACTATACTCACCAATCCTTCTGTCACCAGGAAGTTTCTCCAGTTTTATCTAATCAATACCTTTTTCATAATTTTAAAACTTTTCACTATATCTACTCTGAACTTCCTCTGTTTTACACGGCAAAACTCGTTTTTTCTGTTCTCCCTACCTAAGTGAAGTTTAATGCAAAATTATAATGTAAAAAGTTGACAGGATATACACAGTTACAAAAAAATAGAACTTTTTTATTAGGTTGTGAACATATAAATGTTTTGGTGGCTGAAAGCACTCTTCAGGGTGTTGCTGAGATAATAAAAACATGAAGGTTCCAGGTTCAAAACTGATGATTACCAGCACTCATGTCACAATTCCTCAGCAAGAATTAGCTTTTACAGTCAGGAACTTTAAAAAAAAAAGGGACTGTCAAACTATGTTAATTGAACTGACTTTTCATGAAGTCTATTAAAATGTAAGTGTAAAATAAGTTGAAGTTTAAAATTACAGTGTATATACTTAGAAAACTAAAAAGCAAATCAAAACTGTAGCGATCCAATAAGTAATTCTGAATGGAGGCTTAACTTATGATAGTTTCACTGCTCCTCATGTGATAGCTGCTTTTACATGGCAGCTGTATTTCCTCCCTAAGAGAAGCCAATTTCTGACCTCCAATCATTGACCAAAGCCAATTTATCTGGATGTACTTTACATTGGTCTTGGAATATTTCCTTTCAAAATCTTCAAGATCTACATGTTATCTTTCTTATAACTCCTGATGGTCCGTTGCTGTGGTGCCAGGAACAGTAGTCATGTGCACTTAGCTGTCATTGCATCCACTATGTTCATTCCCTTGTGCAGCTTTGGGTCAGATAAGAAACTTGTAGGCTGTGGTTTGCCCAGATTTGATCTAGAAGGGTAAGGGCAACAGATGCATAACGTTTCCCTCTAAACAACACAGAATCCTGATTTGAAAATGTGTCACTGGAAATGGCAACCATGGAGGCTCCTACCACTGTGGGTGTTCCTGCACCACTGAGGCTGTTCAAGTTCAAGTGGGTGGCTCACCACCACCTCCTCGAGGATAATTAAGGGGGAGATATAAATAAATAGTTGACTGCCTTTGATGTCACATGTATCAGCAAGTGGAACAAAATGAAAAGTCAGAAATGTACTTATCTTCTGTTGTGTTTTGTTTTCAGGTGAGCAAGGAGCAAAAGGTGATAAAGGGAACATTGGTTTTCCAGGATTTAAAGGAGATAAAGGTGATAAGGGAGGTCCCTGTGAAAATGGTACCAAAGGAGAAAAAGGAGAGCAGGGAGATGTTGGCAAAATGGGGTTAACTGGAGAAAAAGGTGAGAAAGGTGAGAGAGGAGATATAGGAGAAAAAGGAGAATGCGGGGACATTGGTGAGAAGGGTGATCGTGGAGATTCAGGGGCAGAAGGTGATAAAGGAGAAAAAGGTGAACCAGGGAATGATGGTATTAATGGAAGTGATGGATTGAGTGGGGAAAAGGGAAATGAAGGACAAAAAGGAGATAAGGGGGACCAAGGACCAATGGGACCCAAAGGAGCAACAGGGCCAAAAGGAAAAGATGGTCGCAAAGGTGCCCGTGGTCGAAAAGGCATTCGCGGATTAAGGGGCTTGCCAGGAAACAAAGGTCAGGATGTAAAGATCATGCCATCTGCATTTAGTGTGGGATTATTGCCAAGTAAGTCCTTCCCTTCAGTTGGTACCCCAATAAAATTTGAAAAGATGTTCTATAATGAGCAAAATGTCTACAATCCAGAAACTGGAAAATTTCGCTGCAGCATTGGAGGTGTTTATGTGTTTTCTTACCATTTGACTGTGAGAAGTAGACCTATAAGAATTAGTCTGGTAAAAAATGGAACTCGTACCTTGAAGAGTAGAGATGCAATTTTTGGTCAGGATATAGATCAGGCATCTGGCATGGTTATTCTTAAATTAAAACCCAATGATGAAATCTGGTTGATGATAACTCGAGACTGGAATGGCATTTTTGCGAGCAATGATGATGATAGTACATTTACAGGGTTTCTTTTGTATCCAGAGTAAGCTTCAGATTATATTAAATAATTCTGTTACCTTGCAACAATCTGCATCCCCTTTTGAATGTACTTTTAGTTTAAGATTCGGTCCTTGCTCAGATAATAAATGAGACAGCCTGTATGTGAAATGATCACAAAATGAACTGAATTTTGTTGATTTTTGTTTAAAGTAACATGACATTGTACTGACTGTTATGTTAGTTAATTAAATCAATAAACTCTGACAATATGGCATTTCTTGTCTTCCTATTTCAATTTCATATTCATTTTTGAAAAGGGTAACAGAATATCTCACAAGGCTTAACTAGGTCTTTAATTTTGATCTTAACCCATAAGGGGTGTGAAAAGGATGTTGAATTTACAATGATGATATATGTAACCATCTAAGCAGATTTCATGGGGAAGTGTTCTGTTCACAAGATAGTGTTCAGAATGATACAAGCTTTGTTTCACAATGCACTTTATTCAAACTGGCTTCTAACAAATTCAATTTCAATTTGAAATAGTATGATCCAATATCTACCACTAACCATATTAAAGCCTTTTAGTTATTGAAATCTTTATTGTTTGTGTGTTTCTCACTGACAAGGCTCTAGGGATAACTTGCAACCTACAACAAAGCATAAAACTGCAATTGAGCAACCACCCGATATACAACATAGCATAAAATCTATGAAGGTGAAATTTACATAGAACAAGCTCTGAAGGTCATTTTATATTTTTATGAAACAGTGAATCAGCAATTCATATGAGGGGGAACAATAGATGCCTGAGCTAGGAAGTGCAACTGTTCCTGATGGAAAATGTACACCAATAAATGCAGTGTCACACAGTGATAGCCTCAAGTACACGGTATTATTTATGGCCTGGATGTGAGCTTACAAGCTCTTAACTGTTACCCATTAAAGAGAAGTGGGTTCCACTCTAAATATGTCCAGTTGGTCCCTGGTAATAGTGGAACACCTATACTAATGCCTGCTACCCTGTCAGTTGCTATGATTCACTCCTTTTACAGTTATCCAAGATGCCACAATTATTTCAAATGAAGCAAGAGACTGACCACTGTGAAACCAAAGCTATCTACTGCAGCAATAAATGTTTACCTGGCAAGGGCATTCAAGTACAATATCTAATAAGTAACATAATTTAAAAAATTTTGTTATGGAATGTGAGCATTATTTGCAGAACGAGCAATAATTCTTCACCCTCAATGACCCTCAAGAAAGTATTTGTGAGTAATGCACCCCCAAGACTCGAAGGTCCCATGCACCTCGATTGGCATGCTGATGCATTGACTTCTGCATGCATAAATTGCTGCTAAGCATGGTCCTCAGAGGTCTATGGAGCAGAAAAAGAAATCAGGATGAACATAGATGGTCAGCCATGTTTTTGAACCACTGCAATCAATTTGGGGCACCTAGAGTGTGGTTAGGAAAGGAGTTCCAACATTTGGATTCAGTTACCTGATAATATAGTTCAATGTCAAAAATGGTATGTGTGGCTTGGAGGAGAACTTGCAATTCATGGTGTTTCCCATATATAAATGTTGCAGGTTTGGAAGGTGTTGTCGAAGGAGCCTTGGTGTGTTGCCGCAGTGCAGGTTGGATGTAGTACTGACTGTTGACCCTATGTGTCAGTAATGGAGGGAGTAGTTCAGGTGCCAATCAAGTGGGAAGCTTTATCCTGAATTCTGACAAACTTCTTGAGTGTTATTTGAGCCACATTCATCTAGGAAAGTGGAGAATATTCCATCACAATCCTAACTTGTGCTTTGCAGATGACGGACAAGATTCAGTCATGAGATGAACCTCTCACTGCAGAATTCCAAACTTCTATGTGCGCTGAAAGCCACAATATTTATCTGAATGTTCCAATTACATTTCTGGTTGATAGTAACCCAAGGATGCTGGTGATGGGTGTAGGGTTTAAAAATGGTGAAACCAGTTAATGTCAAAAAGAGATAACTAAATTCTTTCTTGTTAGATATGATTGTTGTCTGGCACCAGCACTTTGCTGCAAATGTCACTGTACCACTTATTATCCCAGGCCTGAAAATTGTCCCGATCTTGCTGTATATGGATACAGACTACTTTAATAACTAAAGAGATACAGCTGATACTGAATAATGCACAATCATCAATGAACATCTCTACTTCTGATGTTACGGTGGAGGGAAAGTCATTGATGATAGGGTTGGAGATGATTGAGTCTAGGAGGCTATTTTGAGAAACTCCTGCAGTGATGCACAGGGAATGAGGAGATTGACTTTCAACAAAAGCAACCATCTACCTTCGTGCTAGGTATACCTCCAAGAAGTGGAGAGTTTCCCTCTGATTCTCAATGACTTCAATTTAGAGAGGGCTCTTTGATACCACACTCGGTCAAATTCTGCCAAGTCATTCTCACCTTGCACCTAGAATTCAGCTCTTCTGTCCATGTTCGGACCAGTGCTGTAATGAACTCAGGAACTAAGCGGCCCTTGCTGAACCTAAACTGAACATCAGTCAGCAAGTTATTACCGAGTAAGTGTTGCTTAATAGCATTGCTGACGATTTCCGGCAATTTCTGGTAATCAGGAACAGATAGATTGGGTAGTAATTGGCTGGATTGGATTGAACCTGCTTTTTAGTGAGATGCTATTTCACACATCTCAAAAAAATTACCCTTAAAGGTGTATGTTCATAACAGTGAGAAAGCAGGGAGCTGGAGAGGGTTCAGAAGAGATTTACCAGGATTTTGCTGGTATGGAAGGTTTGAGTTATAGAGAAAAGCTGGAAAGGCTGGTACATTTTTCCACAAGGGCATAGGAGGTTAAAAGGTGATCTGATAGAAGTTTATAAAATAATGAGAGGTATAGATAGAGTTAATGATAGTTGTCTTTTCCCTAGAATGGGGGATTTCAAGACTTAGGGGCACATTTTTAAGGTGAGAGGAGAGAGATTTTAAAAAGACGTGAGTGGCAAATTCTTTTACACAGAGGGTGGTTGTGTAATGAATTTCCTGAGGAAGTGGTGGATGTGGGTACGATTACAACATTTAAAAGACATTTGGATGGATAAATGAATAGGGATATGGGATATGGGCCACAGCAGGCAGGTGGAACTAGTTTTGTTCGGGATTATGGTCAACATGGACTGATTGAACTGAAAGATCTGTTTCTGTGCTGTATGACCCCATGACTCTGTTTGTCTTTAACATGACTCTGACAAGGAATCAGGAAACTTGGGTTTCCTAAACTTGGGTTGGCTGAGAACTCAGCATGGATTGTAAGATAAATATCATAATTAATTAATTAATCTAATTCATTGCACAGAGATATACACAAATGTGATCAATAACTTTGTCAAATGAAGAGTTACCATCAGCCATGTGTCAAGATCAATTAACACAATAGCATTTTCTCCAAAATACTTTAATCTGCCTGATGTAAAAGAACTTCATGACACACTTCAGTATCAGTTATTCCAGAGTTTATTTACTCCTGGCTGTCTGATATTGCTGTGTTCAATAAGATTTTCCCACATGTACTTCCTACCATGTATTTCTTCATTGACAGGAAGTAATGATGTACCTCCAACTGAAGAGCAATTTTTTCACAAAGAGCCTTGTGTATACATGGAACAAGTTGCTAGACGAAATACTAGAGATGGATACACTTGCATTTAAAAGACATTTAGACAGGTACATGGATAGGAAAGGTGTAGAAAGCAAAAACAGGCAAATGGGACTAACTCAGTTTATGAAACCTTGTCAGCATGGATGAGTTGGGCCGAAGGGCCTGTTTCCATGCTGTATACCTGAATGATCCTATCTATGTTTAGGAAGATAGCATTTACTGGGTGCCTGTGCTAATTACATGTGTTTGAGTACTCTGCATTGATAACCATTTGAGCAGACTAGCTTAATGATACAAATGTGGTTTTGCCTGATTAACACGTTAATTATTCACACAAGCACCTATTGTTTTCATGATGTTGACACTGCCATAGAGTGACCAGATCTCTCCGTAACAGTAGTTTGTTGGACAGCATTGATGTTTTTAAAGCCTTCCATCCCATGGATCTTCAAAACAGTGAGCATGGATTAGATAAATCGTAGTCCAATGCACCTAAAGCTTGAATTATAAAATTTAGTTGGGAAGCCAAGGCAGAATCTCAAAGTAGGGTCCACTGCAGAGATCATAGTCTGTATGTTGATCTGCAGTTTAGTAATCCACCAATATCTAGATGTGCATTTTGGACTTCATTGACATTTCCAAGCTGTTCAAATTAGAGCATACACTGTTGATGCTTAGACACCAGTCTGTGCTTCTGACAATGGTAGAGGAGTATTAAGATTCTTTCTGCATCGCTTCTGCTGAAATAATATGAAAACATATTTTTCTCCTGCATTAGCTGTCATCTGAAGGCAGGCGTGGTTGGTTAGCAATCCCATGTGCATTGAGTTGTCAGCGTGGTATTTCTGAACAGGCAAATCTTACCTCTTCCTCCTCTTTCAATGACATTTGTTCTTCCTCCCTTGTGTTTCAGACTCATCTGGTATTTGTTCCTCAAATTGCTAATTTCATTACATTCGATATTCTGACTGTGAGGGAAATAATTCAAAAGGGAAATAGTTGAAAATCCCTCTTGAAACATTTCGTGATATTTTTATTGTCATTCAATTTCTTTCAGAAAAAAGAAGCAATTATGCGAGCTAATTCTTAGAAGGGGACAATGTTAAATCTTGCATTCAACAGATATCACTTTTTAACACTCTCAAAGATAGTAAGAACTGCTGATACTGGGGTCTGAGATAACACAGTTTGGACCTGGAGGAACACAGCAGGCCAGGCAGCATCAGAGGAGCAGGAAAGCTGACGTTTCAGGTCGGGACCCTTCTCAAGAACACCTTTTTGAACCCTTAACTAGGTTATTGAAGCTCAAATTGTAATTTTTGGGAGATTTATTTCATACTTTGAGTTGGCAAAGTAGTGATATTATTTCAAGCCATATTGAGCACTAATTA